ATGTCTCATTGGATCACCATTGCATCCAGACTTCGGTATCAATTATCAAGCGCGGACGACACTAATCAATTTTATCTACCTTCAACCAGTAGCAAAGTGATGAGATGCTCGAGGACATAAAGGCAATAGCAGAGTTGGAACCCAGTGGGATTATTCACATAGCTATTTTGTTTAGTTTTTCCCAAATTGTGTAAATTCTAGTATTCGGTGGCGTTCTCTTACTAGGACGTCAGCCTCTTGTACAAAAACGCATATTTACAAGCCAAACTTCAAAATCAATACAATTCATTTTAAAAGAAATTTCAAACTGTCTTTCCTTTATCTGTTTTGATTTGCAAAGAACGTCCAATGTTCATTTTTGATATATGCATTTGACATTAATTGCTGCTCATAAATATTTACATGCGAAACAAAAGACGATTACAGGTAATATCATAAACAGGGGCAATAAGAATTATCCGAGTTGTATAGTTGCTTTGTCCACCAGGTACAAAGGTAGATTCAGCTGAAGAATATGGCTAAGATACCTTCACTCCCCGCAGAGTAAGGCAGTAATGGTAGCTCTCCCCAGCTGAGACTTGCAACTATGAACGAATCGGTAATACTCTCCCCAAGCAGAGTTGATATACCATCAGCACTAAAAAGGCTTGATATCCCTGGAAGTCTTAATATTCCTTGGCAGAGTATAAGAATGTTCCCCGGTAGAATACGAGATACCCCTAGTGGCACTACAACATTTGTTGTCTCTGGCAACACTTTTTTAGGTAACATGTAGAAATTGTTGCCTTAAATTCATATAGGCAACGATTTACGATTGTTGTCAAAAATATGTTTGCAACCCTTGATAATCGTCGCCTAAAATACTTTTGGGGACGTTTATGGAGCGATACTCTTTTATTTTTTTGCCAACGGTTGTTAATTGTGCCCTTAACTGCTTTTGGGGACGATTTTAGAGCGTTAAAATATTATTTCTTTAGCAATGTTTGACAATTGTCCCCTAAAATATTTTTGGGGACATTTTTAGATTGTTACATTAGTTCTAATAAAAGGCTACATTTCTGAAATGTTGTATAAATTTTTTTAGAATTATCAAATTTTTGGTGGCAATCTTCCCTCCAAAACTTATACACTAAAAAACAAATATTTTTCTCTAAACATTATTAATATATATAAAAAAAAATATTTTTTTAACACAGGAATTTAAAATCCTAATAAAATAAACATATAAAAAGAGCAAAGAGGTTACAGTAGAAACAAATGGGAGGAACCACACATATCTAATATATCTAATATATATATATAGACACATTCCACTCTCTTTATAAAAATAAAAAGGAAAAAACTTCCTATTAAAAATGAAAACAAAAGAAGACCAAACTTTAAGAAACAGAACACGTTAACCCAAACCTCAGTATTCTTTCTTTCTCATTTTTTTAGATCTTCTGCTAACCTTCCTCCTCCATATCTCTTCATTTTTCTTAACTTAAAAAATCTCCCATAAATTCAAATTAAACAAACAAGCCATCGAAAGGTGAAAGTATTGTACCTGAAACCCAGAATTGTTGGTGGGTTGCGGGTTGTTGTTACACTGGATCTAGATGGAGGGGTTTGCGATCGTGTTGGTTCTGTGGCAGAAGGTATGGACTGTGGATCTCGGAGTGCGCCGTGGTGGTTTACTTTAGTGACGGTTCTCGGTGCTACGGGGCATTTGTTGGTGTCGCGTGTTGTTTCTGGTGCATTGTGGACTCGCGGCTGCGATCGGAGCGGAAGGCTAGAGTCTCAAGTCTGCGCGATTTGGAGTGTGGTAAGGATGGAAGAGGAGACTTATTCTTCCCACTTCTTTATGACTTCGCATTGTTTTCTGCTACGGTTATGATATTATTGTCGTCTAGAATTCACTGCTGGGTTAAAGGTGATGAGTTTGTGTGAGTTTTGGTTTTTGTGTGTATAAGCGCTACTAATATTTTCATTGTTACAGTAAGATAGAGTTAGGTCAAATTTTAAGAGTTGCAAAGAGGAAAATTCAAGAGTCGGTGATCTCCTTAGAACTTGTAAGTACTTAAAGTACTTGTAAGTTACTTCTCTTGACTGAATATACACGAGAAGTGTTGCCTCTTTACTAGAGCAGTGAAAATTAAGGCTATATGATACTTGTGGTTGGACTGCAAAGATACGAAATATTCTTCATAGATATTTCTTCTTAATATATATACTCAATCTTTTTTTCCAAATCGTATTGCAGGAGAGATGATTGTAGGTCCCATAAAAGCACTTTTTATGGATGAAATATCAACTGGCTTAGACAGCTCCACTACTTTTCAAATAGTTACATGTCTCCAGCAATTGGTGCACATCAGTGATGCAACAGCAGTGCTTTCACTCCTCCAACCAGCACCAGAAACCTTTGAGTTGTTTGATGATCTTATATTGATGGCAGAGGGGAAGATAGTATACCATGGCCCCTGCAGTCAAGCACTCCAGTTCTTTAAGGATTGCAGTTTCTGGTGCCCTGAAAGAAAAGGAGTGGCAGACTTTCTTCAAGAGGTAGGAATAGAAACTGTGTCCCTTACCATTGCACCAAAGTTCAAGTGATTTTACTCATAGTTTCACGAATTACAAATTTCATGCGCACGCAGGTAACCTCTAAGAAGGATCAAAGGCAATACTGGTACCGCACGGATATTCCTTACAGTTATGTTTCAGTGGATGAGTTCTCTCAAATTTTCAAAACAAGCTACTGGGGAAGAATGTTAGTTGATGAGCTCTCACAACCATATGATAAATCTCAATCCCATGAAAGTTCTTTATCATATAGCAAGTACTCCTTAGGAAAATGGGATTTGTTTGAAGCTTGTATGAAGAGGGAGATTCTTCTCATGAAACGAAACTCGTCTATCTATATATTTAAAACTGTACAGCTTACTATCAAATTCAAGTTCAATTCAACTCAGCTAAGTCGTACTTGAACATATAAAATCTAACTTGCTTCTTTTTTCGCTTGTTTTGCAGCTTACAATCACTGCAATCATAACAATGACGGTCTTTTTGCGCACACAACTTAACGTGGACTTGTTAGGATCAAACTATTTATTAGGTTCACTGTACTATACACTTGTACGCCTAATGACAAATGGAGTTTCCGAGTTGATAATGACTATTACTAGACTACCTGTTGTTTATAAGCAGAAAGCATTCTATCTCTATCCAGCTTGGGCTTACTGTCTTCCAGCTGCCATACTAAAGATTCCATTTTCAGTCCTTGATTCTCTTGTTTGGACATCAATAACATATTATGTTATAGGCTACAGCCCAGAAATAACAAGGTCTGTAACTCGTGTATATGTAAGTATAGTCAAACTTTTTCTCTTTTCTTTTGCAAGTTTTTTCTTATATATTTATTATTGAATCAGGTTCCTCCGCCAGTTCCTTTTGCTTATCGCTCTGCACATGTCATCAACCTCTATGTGTCATTCCCTTGCTGCAGTTTTTAAAACTGATGTTGCAGCTACAACTATTGGTTCTTTGGTCTTAGTACTCATGTTCTTGTTTGGAGGCTTTATTCTTCCTCGACGTAAGCCGCTTTATATCATCTCAGTTATAACATGTGGTAGTACTAAATTACTAATTACCAAGTTACTCATCATGGAGTTTATTCTCTGCAGCATCATTACCAAAGTGGTTGAGGTGGGGTTTTTGGCTTTCTCCCATGTCATATGGGGAAATAGGAATAACACTCAATGAATTTCTTGCTCCTCGCTGGCAAAAGGTATCTTCTAAGATAATTTATTTGGTTTCATGATAGGTCACAATATACGTTTATAGGGATCTAATTCATATACATTGTCAGGATGATGATTTTTTATATTGTCAATGAATCATAATCGGAAGATCATTACAAATGTTTGACGTTTATTCTAAATACTACTGAAGTCACGCATATAACTGGTTGTAATTTGTTTACAGTGTAAAAAATTTTACACAGACGGTGTATCAACATGAATATCCAGTTATATATTTATATTTACTATCGTTATTTTCATCATCATTATTTTTCAGATTCAAGAGGGAAACATCACCGTTGGAAGAGAGGTTCTCAGAGTCGTGGTTTAGACTTTGATAGCAACTTTTTCTGGATATCAATTGCAGCATTACTTGGTTTCGCGGTAGTATTTAATATCCTATTTGTAGTAGCATTAAATTACTTAAAAGGTGAGTCCTATCCATGATATTACAAGGAAAAGTAATTGTATGTAACATTGTTTATATAATACGTTTGCTTAATATAATCGGCCAACATTGTCTATAATAGTAGCTAATATTTTTTTTTTGTAATTTATGCTAGTCCCAACTTCAAGAAATGGTTGAAAAGGAGGAAAGTGATACATAAGCTTTTAAAGTTTTTTTTGGAAAGGAGTGTCCAGGCAGGGTACACTGTTATGGGAGAAACATAACTAAAACTTCCTTAAAGAGAAAGGCAGAGATTAATGCTTTGAAACAAGCCCATAGTGAAGAGGTCTCTACATTAAGGGACGAGTTTCAAGATAAGATTGATAGATTGAAAAATGCTTTTAAGACCGTAATACAACAATGCAATCCTCAAATTAATATAGAGTCAATTGAAGATTTGTTAGGATTATCTCATGGAGATGTTAATAGTTCCCCAAAGGATATAAGACCGTAAATGCATTCATCTACATCAACTCATGCTCCATGTCATGGAAAGGTAACCATATATACCAATATTATTGATTTATATTTTTCTAATTATGTTATAGTATCAAAATGGTTGTTAATGTATGCAAAAATTTGCAAGTAGTGACAACACCTAGAATAAAGTAAGTGGTTAAAATTGTTTAAGTAGTGACAACACCTAGAATTGGCTGAAACTGTTTTATTTATGCGAGCTTTCATTGATATTTCACAAACATACTTGCCTGGGATAAGATTATGGGACCCCCTTGTTTGATAACACTCACTATGTATGCTGTAAATTTATCCATATGATACTGAACACCAAAGAAGATACAACAAGTAAGAGTGTTCATCAGAGTTCATTTACTCCAAAAAATAAACATAAAAGGATAGCACAAGTTATACATACATACATACAGTTAAAGGCTATTGTAAGTCCTGAATAGTGAGCCAAAAACAGAATGGTTTTCATAATTGATTTATTTGCTAGTAAGCTCATGTCACCTATTACAGTTTAGAACGAAAATTCACATCCATTAAAAACCTTCATAATTAATTCACATCCATGAGATGTGAAGAATATAAACAATGTGTTTTGCTCATTGGTTTAGTTTTTATTTGTGTGAGGTTTAATTCTTGTTGATGTCTTAATTGTCCTTTGGACCAAAAATACTTATGGTTAATGTGTTTTATTTTATTTTCTTATGCAGCAATGTATCAATGAAGATGTTGAAAAGGACGATATAAATGATGAAATTCAAGAGGACGACATAAATGATAAAATTCAAGAGGACGACCTAAATGATAAAATTCAAGAGGACGACGTAGATGACGAATTTCAAGAGGACGACATAGATCTAGACGATGAATTTCAAGAGGAGGATATAGATGGTGAATTTCAAGAGGACAACGTAGATGAAGAATTTATGGAGGATGACATATCTAACGAATTTCAAGAGGACGATCTGGATGCTTTACTCCTAGAAGACAAACTTGAATGAGTTGGATGATGTCTTTTTTTTGGCTTGTAGTTGAAAGCATTAAACTTGAAATATGATTTTTGTTCTTTTGCTGAACTATGTTTTTAGTTATTTTACTAGGGTCATACTTCAAAGTATTAAAAGTAATATTGTTACGTTAGGCATTTTGTGTACTCTATATACTATATCTTGAATTAAAGTTTGAACTCGATTTTATTATATTACAACTTTTATGGATGTATGGTTTAAGTTATATAATCAATATTATTTTTGAAGCCAATTATTATTGACTATATTATTTTGATAATAATTGCAAAATTGTATATTTTATATGGACATTATAAAACAATAACCTATAAGCTATGGCTACACTTCAAAACGATCTTCCTGATTCAGGTTTAAGGCAACGATTGTTAATTGTAGCCGAATTTGGCAACGCAACGCTTAAAAAACGTTGTCTCAGAGGCCGTAAATAATCGTCCCCTATTCCTTTACTATAGGCGACGTTTTTCAAAAGTGTTCCCAAAAAACATAAAAAAACGTCACCTCAAACAATAGGCAACGTTCGCACAGGAGACACCTAGAAAACGTCCCCTATTGTTTTAGGCAACGATTTTCAGAGTTATGGCAATGTTTTCCAATTGTTGCTGGAGAGCCTAAATGTTGTAGTGTGGAGTTAAAATTTTCCCAGCGCAGTCTGAAAAAGCCTCCCCAACGGAGTTGAAGCATCATTCCCCAGTAGGCTCTGGAAGTTTATCCCCAGCGGAGTACAAAATAAATCTCCCCAGCCGAGTTCAAAGGATCGTTCCCAGCATAATTCAGAAGACTATCCCCACAAGAGTCTAACAGGGTTATCCCCAGCAAGTCGCAACCGAAAGATCATCCCCAGTGAAGTTCTTTCCTTTCACAAACAGGAATTCAATCCTCAACAGATTCAATATCACCAGCAACGATAATTCATCCCGACGAAATTTATCAGTGGAATCTTCAACAGAACATCTCTTCCCCACAGAGTAATCTCTTCATCAGTTTATTCCCCAATGGAGTTATCTTCTCCTGCAGGTTTATTCTCACAATCACCTTCGTTCACCATCCCCAGCGGAAACGAAGAACTCAACTCTATTCTCCAGCAGCTATCCGGGATTTATTTTCCCCGGCTAAAAACATTACATTTCCATACATCATGATGCATACATATACGCATCATATAACACAATCTCATTTATTTTGAGAACATCATTGCTTGATCCATATCATGCATTGCATATGACTAACCTTTACTTTTCAGGAAAGATGCAGTTAAATTCTCAGCTATATCAAAAGACCTCCTCTGGTTCAGTCAGATCACCAATAAGATCTCCCTGATTCGTATTCCAGTTGAAGTTATTCCAAGACTCTTTCCTGGTCCAGTTAAATCGATTCGAAGATTTTTCTGATGCCGATCCAGTCAAAGTTAATCCAAAACCTCCTATGGTTCAGTCAGATCACCGATAAGATCTCCCTGATTCGTATTCCAGTTGAAGTTATTCCAAGACTCTTGTTTGGTCCAGTTAAATTGATTCGAAGATTTTTCTGATGTCGATCCAGTCAAAGTTAATCCAAGACCTTCCCTGGTTCAGTCAGGTCAATGATAAGATCTCCCTGATTCGTATTCCAGTTGAAGTTATTCCAAGACTCTTGTCTGGTCCAGTTAAATCGATTCGAAGATTTTTCTGATGCCGATCCAGTCAAAGTTAATCCAAGACCTCCTCTGGTTCAGTCATATCTCCGATAAGATCTCCCTAATTTGTATTCTAGTTGAATTTATTCCAAGACTCTTGTTTGGTCCAGTTAAATCGATTCGAAGATTTTTCTAATGCCGATCCAGTCAAAGTTAATCCAAGACCTTCCCTGGTTCAGTCAGGTCAACGATAAGATCTCCCTGATTCATATTCCAGCCGAAGTTCAGACCACCTATCAACAGTCTCCAAATGGCATCTGAAAGCCCATTCCCGACATCACAATGCTGATATCACTTTGTGATCGGTGGATCTGGAACTGACTGTTTAACGCTGGTTCGCGAAATGTCGCGGAAGCAAGAGTCGCCACCGTCTTTTATTTTCTCCAAATAGAAAGGACAAAAGCACAGAAAAATTCCTTTAAAGAGATTGCTCTCGGTTCGGGAGGTAGGTTATAAAAAGGGAAGGTGTTAGCACCCTTTCTATCCATGGTTATCCATGGGCTCTTAGATACTTGCTCAATGTGTTTTCAAAAATGTTTGCTTGCTTTTCAATCGTGGGTTAACAAAGTTTCTTTGAAAAATTTCAGTTCGACTCGTACGTCAGAGTGTTTGAAAAATTTGCTTTGAAAGCTTTTGAAAAGTGTTGGTGTGAAAAGTCTTTGAATTTTTGTTTTGAAGAGAGCAAGTATCCATGAGTCGTCTACCTACCCTAAGGAATTCGTCTGTGTAAATGTCCTTTAAAGTAGTGCCATCCCACCATTGAGAGGTAGGTAGCACCACCGTTGGAGGTGTTCGGGTCAATTCGAGTTTATAGGGACATGGTGATCACCGGAGCAATGGGAAGACACCTTAGAAGCTACCCTCATGCCAGGTTCCCGGATCATGAGGACTTACTAAGACATCCTCTACTCGACGATCACCTTTCGAAAGGCAAGGCAACAGTGAGGCGTACCCTAGGGGTGGTGTGTGCGATTCGTGTATCGTTTTCATTGATATTTGTCTTGTCATGTTCATTGGTGTTCTACGCTTGTTTTTATTTTGTTCATACATTCTTTCATGCTTTTGATTAACAGTTAAAATATTTGCGAGAAAATAAATCTAAGGCTATTACAAATGGCGCGGGTCCACATCGCCAAAATTAAACCGGACCCGATTTGACAGAAAGTAAATAAAGCAAAAGAAATAAAAAGTGCGAGAAGTTTGAATTACACGGCTTTGGGAGAATTACATAATTATTTAAGCAATAAAATAAATACGCAAATTAAACAATTAAAAATATGGGCGTTGGACCTTTTTGCAAAATTAAAATTAACAATGAATTAAAATTAAGAATGTTTTTGGTATTTTATGTTTTTTAGATTTAATGGAAAAAGAATTAATTAAAATTAAAATGTCAAACCCTAGTTCTAATTATTTTTAGTTATTATGAAAATGTTAAATTAACCTAAATTAAACCCTATTTTATTGTACAATTTAATTATAAAATAAATAAAATAAGTAATATTATTGTAAAAAGGGAAAATTAAAAAGGAATAAAATTAACAATTAAACCTAAATTCTATATTTTTTATTATTTTATTATGAAAAGAATTAAAGTTGCAACCTAAATTAATACTAAATTAATTTACATGTTAATTTATTTATGAAAATAATTAAATTAAATATTTATTATATTTTTCATCTTTTCTGATTTTTTTTGGTATTTTATGTTTTTTAGATTTAATGGAAAAAGAATTAATTAAAATTAAAATGTCAAACCCTAGTTCTAATTATTTTTAGTTATTATGAAAATGTTAAATTAACCTAAATTAAACCCTATTTTATTGTACAATTTAATTATAAAATAAATAAAATAAGTAATATTATTGTAAAAAGGGAAAATTAAAAAGGAATAAAATTAACAATTAAACCTAAATTCTATATTTTTTATTATTTTATTATGAAAAGAATTAAAGTTGCAACCTAAATTAATACTAAATTAATTTACATGTTAATTTATTTATGAAAATAATTAAATTAAATATTTATTATATTTTTCATCTTTTCTGATTTTTTTTGGTATTTTTTGTATTTGGTAAATAATTAATTGAATTAAAACAAATAAAGAAAATAAAATCATAATTGAAAATAAAATAAATAAAAAAATATAGAGAAGCAAACCAGGGGGGGTTCAGGCCCCAGATGGAGGTAAGGGCTCAGCAATTTGGCCCAACAAGCATGGAAGTTCGCTGACTTTTTCAATTCGTGTATTAGTGCATTGACCAGGACTTAACGTGTTCTTCAGATCCATGTCGTTGGTTTAATCTTCAGGGGCACGTGGACCTCTTGATTGTGAGGGAATATGGTGAACCATAGCACTGAAACTGCATGGGAATTATTATAGCAAAATAATATGGAAATATGCAAGACCTGGGACTTGAACCCAGGTCATGAGGGTTACCAGCGCTTTCTCCAACCAACTGTGCCAATTCGCTTTTTTGTAATATAATTAACAAACAAATAATATAATAGAAAAAACAAGATTAGTACTGGAAAACGCGCGAAATTCAAAAGCAGCCAACCAATGCGTGACACGGACTCATCTTCTTCATCGTGTCTGCCTGAAACAAATTTGTCAAATATTTAACGGGGGTTTTAAACCCCCCCAAAATAGGCTTATTTACAGAATAGCGAATAGGCCACATGTGTATATAAATTAAGCGCGACCATTGCAATCTCTTCGTCCAAGCTCCCTGGTTTTGATAATGGTATTATGACTGGCTAATTTTACAGTACCAAGAAATCCCCAATTCAAAATCTTGCAAACCCTAGAACATGAACATGGTGAAATCGCGTGTATGGCATAAAAATGCAATTAAAGGCATTGGTTAGCATCAGAACATTATGAGGAACAAGAATCCATGAATCAAATGTTAAAAAAATGCTTAAAATATGAAACACGATGATCAATATTTTTCTATACAGTTCATGTTCATTCTACCAATTCTTGGAGTCTGAATGGATGCTAACGATTGGAATCGCTTCTGGGAGCCTTGAGGAAGCCTTTGAAACAAGAATTAAGACCTGAATCCTCTTCTAACCACGTTTTCAGAATTGACTTTTATGGAGAAAATTTCAAATTGGTACTAGTCTTTTTTGCGCAGCTGAGAGTGTGTGGGCATTAGGTTTTGACTCAGTACTTATGAGGGAAGGGAATTAAGTCCTTAGCTGGCCTTGGTCCATGCCTATGAGAGAATTAGTCTTAGGTTTTTCACCATTAACAAAATTTTCCTTTTTTTAAGCAAAACCAAGACTTGGTGTA